AAGCTCTGGCGCTGCCTGCGCTGGCGCTGCCTCAGCTGCCTCCGCTGCCGCCGCTGCGGAGGCGGGAGCGGTGGCGGCAGCGGCGGCCCCGTCGGCGTTTGTGGGGCCGACGGGTTCGGGGGTGGGCTCGGCATTTGCGGCGGGGAGCATGGGGGCAGTTTTCGCGCCGAGAGAGGTTGCCGAGAGAGGTTGCCGAGAGAGAGATGGCCGAGAGGGTGAGGCTCGGGCCAGCCGTGCTCAGACCTGCAAGTAGGCGCCGCGCTATGTCTCTCGCTTCGTCTGCCGCTACAATGGGTGCGGCAAGGACTACGTGTCGATGGACGGCGTGCGTGCCCACTGCAGGTACAGCGGCGGGGCCCAGCACCCCCCCCCCCCTCCAGACCGCCTCCCTCCACCTCACGCGCAGGAAGGAGCACCCGGCCTGGCTGAACAGCCTTCCTGCCCGCAAGCCGTCCCTCTTCTGCGAGCAGAAGCAGGTCGAGATCGATATTGCGACCTCCACCGCCGCCGACTCGATGGCGCCGGTCCCAGACGAGTATCTGCACGAGGGCGAGGGCGGCGCACTCTTCGTCAAGTTCAAGGTCTCCAACCGCACACTCGTGCCCCTCGCGCGGTTGGAGGGCGTGGCACGGCTCGCCCTTCCGGCCTGGACGTCCTCTGGCGCCTCGAGCACGTTGCAGTACACGGGCGCGCCATCCCTGGCGACGGCGATGCGGGAGGCGACGGAAGAGCCACTGCAGCAGGGGCAGCAGCAGCAGGGGCAGCCGCCGCCGCCAGGGGGGCAGCCAGGGGGGCAGCCAGGGGGGCAGCCAGGGGGGCAGCCAGGGGGGCAGCCAGGGGGGCAGCCAGGGGGGCAGCCGCCGTCGCTTCCGGCGCAGCAACCACCGCCTCAGTCAGCGGAGCGTTCTCAGCCACAGCAGCCCCCTGAGACTGGTGGTCCGAGCCAGCAGCCGCTTCAAACGGCGCAAGCGCAAGCGCAGCCGCCGCCCGCCGCACGGTTCGCGCCGCCGCAGCAGCTTCCTACCAGCCAGGCGCAAGACCGGCCAGCACAGCCGCAGTCAACACAGCCGCCGCGGCCTCAGCTGCCGACGCCAGCACCGCGGAAGTTTTCGCCACAGCAGCGGGCGCCAGTGCCGCTACCACAGCAGCAGTTACTGCAGCCGCTGGGGGCTCCCTACCCGACGGCCGCGGCGGAGCCCGGGGTGGTGGCGCAGGAGGGATCTGCTCGAGGGTTCCCTCATTAGGGGCAGCCGCCTTGGGCCCACGCCTTGCCCGGGGGGGGCCATCCTGCCTGGCAGACCGCCCACCCGCAGGTGGTGCAACAGATGGTCCCCCCCGGGATGCCCCCAGGTGCCCCCCCCGCGAACGCTGAAATCTCCACACAGCAGGGGCAAACGGGGCCCGCACCTTACAATCCCCCCCCCCCCCCCGCGCGCGCGCCCCGCCCTTGCTCCCTCCCTCTCGCCTCCCTCTCTGCCTTCTCTCGCTCCCCGACCTCCCTTGCAACCCCAGTCACCCCTCCACGCAGGCATGCTGCCGATGCAGCTCTTGGTCGCTCAGCAGCTGGGCATGCCCGGGATGGCGCAGCAGCATGTCTTCGTCCCTCCAGGCATGTTGCCGCCACAGCAACTGCAACCTGTCGTGCTGCCGCCTCAGCAGACGCCGACAGGGATGCAGGCCGTCGCGGGTGAGCTCTATCTCGGCCTCATCTCGGCAACCCCTATACCCTGCAGTTTCGCTGATCTCCCTATACCTTGAGACATGCACAGCACATCCTGGCTACACCTCGGCTCAACTGGCTGCCTGTCGCAGGTGGGATCGCGCAGCAGCCGCCGGAGCAGCCGCCGCAGCCGTACACGGGCGCCTCGTACATTGGCATGCTACACGAGGCGCAGGAGACATGGACGGGCATCACAGGCCTACTCCGCCTGCGGGACACAACATCCGATGGGCGGACGTGCGAGGAGCTACGAGATACAGGACAAGTACAACCATGCAGGCGAAGGAGGGCGTACTGACCTAAGAGTCGTACACGGCACAGTAGTGATGACTGTGCTCTTACACGTTACAGTCGTATTTTGGGCGCGATTACATGGCATGATTCTCGATCTCGTGAGATCGTCTTTGCCAAAAAGGAGTCAAACTTTCCTGCGAGACGAGATGGGATCTTGCAGACTCGTTGCCTCATGCCTGCCTAAGCCTAAGAGAGAGGTCGCATTTCTGTCCACAGCTTGCACTGACAATTACAAAAAGTGGGGGCGCGGCCGGGGCAAGGCCAAGGCGCAAGCGGCAACTAGGGCGGAACCGGGAGAAGGGGGACAACCCTGGGACAGGCAACCTCGATACTGCCAAAACACTCGAACTCCACGCGCATCGGATCTCCACACTCCAGAGACCAGACAGGGCCCCTGCGGGTCGCGCCGCCCGCCGGCCTGGCCAGCACAGGCCAGACGCCAGAGCCTACGGTCCCGGCCGGCAGGGCGCGCGGTTGTGGGCTTGTGGCGCGCGCCGCGCGCTGGGCTCGAGCGCCGCAGCGGGAGTGCAGTGAGTGGTGATGGCCCTGAGCCTGGTTCTGGGTCCCCCAGGGTCCGTGTGGGTCCGTGCGGTGACGGCACTTGTGAGTGACGGCCACGCCGGCGGCGGGGGCGGAGGCGGTGGCGGGGGGGGCGGGTATGATGGTGGTACCCTAGCCTACCGGCTACCGCCTAGCCCTGCAGCCTGGGTGCGGCCCCTTCCTGCGAACGCGCATCCCGAGGGCCCAACAGGAGAATCGTGCTTTCAGTGGGGTTGTTTGGTGTTGGGTTGATTGAGTTGGTTGGGGGTTGGGTTGTTCCGCGTGAGGTTGGGTCGTCGGCGCGAAGAGGAGGGTTACACTCTGACCTGTTCCGACCCTGATCCGACCCTGATCCGACCTTATGTGAACACCGACCTGATCCGACCCTGTTAGGTTTGAACAAGGTCGGAACAGGGTCGGATCAGGGTCGGAACAGATGAGCTGCCCCACGTACGGCCCTTTTTCCCGACCTTGTTCCGACTCTGGTCCGACCCTGATCCGACCGTGTTCGGCAGCGTTCGAACACGGTCGGAACAGGGTTGGATCAGGGTCGGAACAGATGAGCTGCCCCACGTACGGCCCTTTTTCCCGACCTTGTTCCGACTCTGGTCCGACCCTGATCCGACCGTGTTCGGCAGCGTTCGAACAGGGTTGGATCATACCATGATCCGACCGCACGGACGGGCACAGCACATACGTGGTGAACTCCGACGATGTTCCGACCGTGATCCGACCTGATCCGACCGGTCGGAACAGGGGTCAGCGGCGGCGGGAGGGAGGGATTTTCCCGACCTTGTTCCGACTCTGGTCCGACCCTGATCCGACCGTGTTCGAAGTGAACACGGTCGGATCAGGTCGGTGTTCGAGAGAGGTCGGATCAGGGTCGGAACAGGTCAGAGTCATACCCTCCATACCCTCTTGCGAAGGGTGAGGTCTCGACCGCCGCCGCTCACGCCAGCGGACGGCCACCATCGGTGTTTTTGGCTTCGCCACCGTCCAAAGCGTGCGCAATGCGCTCGCCGGCATCGAGCGAGCACGCCTGTCCGACGAGCGGCTTGCTGTGTGCACGCTTTCTTGTGGCTCTCGCCGAGAGCGTTTTGCGTCCCGGCGGGTGGGAGAATATGTGTCGTCTGATGTGTCACTGTGTGCGTCACATCGGGCTTGATAACAAGCACGGTCGATCCGCCAAAGCGATACTCTCGATCCTATCACATATTTTCTCTCCAC